GCATAATCAGGATGTGACTGTTAAGTATAAAATGGCCAGCTATAACATTGCTTAATGTTCTTTTGATCCCTCTGCTGAATAACATTAAGAGATTTCTCTTCCTCCACAGGAGCTGACATGTGAAAGTGTAGTTTGTCGTCAGGTGTTCAAGAAAAAAGAATAATAAAGTCAATGCTTCTAAATAAACGTGACATGTTTTGTTAAATATATGAGCAGAATGAATCGATGAATAAAGATGCTTTGAGAACCATATTGTATCTATCTATCTATCTATCTATCTATCTATCTATCTATCTATCTATCTATCTATCTATCTATCTATCTATCTATCTATCTATCTAACAACAGACAATGATGTGATAGTAATGGAGAAAAAAATTACATATTTTTACATTTTTATTATAAAACGGACATAAGACTGAGCTGACAACAAGGTTAGGACAATTTTCATGTTGCTTTCGAAACAAATAATTGACAACAAATTACTCATCTTAAAATATGACATTGGAAAGGCGCTCTGTTTATCCTATAGGCTAACCATGGATGGTGGTGAAGTTATATTTGTATAGCAACTGATATAATAGAATAAAAATAGACATAGGATATAGTCTTTACACACAGCATAGAATGACACCGTGGCAGCTTGACGACTGACTGCAGCAAAGCTCACGGATGTTGTCACGTCAGCACTTGCACGGCTCAACTCACGCGAGATTGCGTTTCAGGAAGTTCCACGTCAGTGTCCACTAGGCTGTTCACTGGAAAAACGCAACATTTGGACCCCGATTGAAACTGTTCGCAACACATTTCTCTGATTTTATTGTGACAACACGGGGACAAAACATGGTAGGAGGCATTTTAAACATCCCAGAGTGTGTTTTTGTTTGTATACATACCAACTTATTTGTTTTAAAAAGAGCCGTGAATCAATGTCAAATAATAATATCTTGCAGCTAGCTTAGCGGCTAATTAGCTTGAGTTAGCACGAGAGCTTGTAGCTTACGGCCTTTTAGGATTTCCAACCTAAGCTTTTTTTCCAGTGTTAGCATGTGGGTACATTTGTGTTGAGTTAGTTGCGCAGTTATTACTAACGGATGCACAGTTACAGATTTAGCTTGATTAAACGAAATGTATTGAGTTGAATGCTATCTGCTAATCGATGCTTTGGTTTTGCTACCAGTTGTTGTTTGAAGCTTCATTGCTTTTAAGATACACTTTAAGTTCAATATAACACCTGTAACAGCGCTTGGAAACACTGATCTCTTTCCGTCTTTTCAGCCTCTGAGGCTGGACATTAAGCGGAGGCTGACAGCCAGGTCAGACCGGGTGAAGAGTGTGGACCTTCACCCAACTGAGCCATGGATGCTGGCTAGTCTGTACAACGGCAGCGTCTGTGTTTGGAACCATGAAACTCAGGTACGAAGCCAGTGTGACAGTCGTGCCAAATTGCTTATATAAAAAAGACTGCTGACTTCACATCCATATAGATGATCACTGATGTGTCGCATCCATATGTTGCAAACTATAAGCCGGCTCTCTTTTCAGACTCTTGTCAAGACTTTCGAAGTTTGCGACCTGCCTGTCAGAGCTTCTAAATTTGTGGCAAGGAAGAACTGGGTCATCACAGGAGCGGTGAGTGATATTTACTTATTTCTGTTGGGATCACAGCTCAGAAAAAAAAAAGCTGACAAATTCAAAGGTGCTGTATGTTAAATGAAATACTCCAAAAAGTTTAAAATGTTATGGATATTATAAACAAGACATGGCAAATGAAAACATGCTCTTGTGACTGTCATGGATGGGGTTAAAAGACTGACCAGTATTCTCGATAACTTAGATAGCATCCTCTTTTCTGAAAAACTGCTTTCAGAGTGTCAAATTCCAAATCACCAACATTTCTGGTCCTGTGGATCAGCTTATTGAACCATCAGACACAACAGAATAGAGAATGCCACTGGCCACCGGAGAATATTGTGCATCATCCAGAAGATATTAAAAGAGCTCAGTCATTTCAGAAAGTAGATATTCCTCTAGCACTTACTGTAGGGGGTCTTCTGTATTTTTATTGAAGTTCAGTTTTTTGTTATTGTGGTCATTCCCTGTGTCTGCCCAGATCTCATGTATAGAAATACGAATCATCAGTGTTCCAATCCTCCCCAACTAGCTCCATAGTTTTTGTCACATTAAGATACAGATTGTTCTGCTCACACTATGTAACAAAGTTGCTGCCACAGCATAGTTCCTCATCACCCTACCTGATCCCACACATGCTGTGGTCTGCCACTCAAATAGTCAACTACCAGGTCACTAGGGAGACATCCACCTGCATCTAGTAAAAACAACAGAAGTGCCAAATAGTAACTTTTAAGTAATACTTTTAAAAACTAATGACATGATTTTTTTAAGGATATTGTTATCTTTCAGATGTTATGTGCACTAAGTTTTTGAGGGAGTCACATGATCATATCTTGTTTTCCAATGTTGTTAAAATCTTAAAATGATGTGTTTTCAAGTAGTAACTCAGCTTTTTTATTATCCCTGTGTAGGATGACATGCAGATCCGTGTGTTCAACTACAACACCTTGGAGCGAGTCCACATGTTTGAGGCACACTCCGACTACATTCGTTGCATTGCTGTCCATCCAACCCAGCCATACATCCTCACCAGCAGCGGTACGCTAGTAAACTCATGATTTCTTTCTTCCTTTAGTTTTTTTGTAAATCTGTGGCATTCTGCATACACATGCTCCACAGATCATACTATGAAGACTTGTCTTTATGCATGACTGTGTTTTTGTGTCATTGCAGATGACATGTTGATCAAGCTTTGGGACTGGGAGAAGAAGTGGTCATGCAGCCAGGTGTTTGAGGGTCACACTCATTATGTTATGCAGATTGTCATCAACCCCAAGGACAACAATCAGTTTGCCAGTGCTTCCTTGGACAGAACAATTAAGGTAGGAGCCTCTTGCTTTGTATCTTCTCACTTCTGCTTCTGCTAAAGCTGAGTCCTGTTTCCCGTGGTAAGACTTGAGAAGGTTCATGATCTTTTAAGCATTTATGCAGACAAGGGTATCCGGTTGGAATTTGAGCTTATACTCTTAAAAAAAAATCAACTTGTCAGCATTTAAGGTAAAATGTTTATTATTTTGTGATGGTGCACAGAAATTATGTGGTAAAATAGCCTTTTCTTTTTAAAATGTCATCAGGCCAGTGTCTGCTTTTCAGGTTTTATACTATAGTGAAATCCCACAGCAATATTTACTTCACTTCAAGGTTTCTGGAAATTAGTCCTAGGAGCTAAATGTTTTGGAGAGTTCTGGAGGAATAGTATATCTGCACCGTGGATTGTGAACTGTGGGTCATACACTATTGTAGGTTCCTTTATGACTATAAATTACACATATGTAGTTAAAAGTTCATGAAGTATTTGTAGTCATGTTCTTGGGATTCTTACAGGTGTGGCAGCTTGGCTCTTCATCTCCCAATTTCACTTTGGAAGGTCATGAGAAAGGAGTAAATTGTATTGATTACTACAGTGGAGGAGACAAGCCCTACCTGATATCTGGGGCTGATGATCGCCAAGTCAAGATCTGGGACTACCAGGTAGGAGAATTTCACTTGATTTTCCTAATGTTGTGATTATTTACTTGTGCTACTGCGGTAAGAGTTGGTTTAGCATTGTGTGCATGTGAGTGTTTCACCCATTTGTCGCTGTGTGTTGTAGAACAAAACCTGCGTTCAAACTCTGGAGGGCCACGCCCAAAATGTCTCTTGCGTCAGTTTCCACCCAGAGCTGCCCATCATCATTACTGGATCAGAGGATGGTGAGCAGGAATCCCACTCATCCTCACCTGTGCACCCACAAAATGCATCTTTTGCCATCTCATTAATTATTGCTTTTCACACTGTGTTCTCTCTCCCTCTACAGGGACCGTGCGTATCTGGCACTCGAGCACTTACCGCCTTGAGAGCACACTGAACTATGGCATGGAGCGAGTGTGGTGTGTGTCGGGTCTCAGGGGCTCCAACAATGTGGCGCTGGGCTACGATGAAGGCAGCATCATTATCAAAGTGAGGGAAAGGAAGAAGACAAAGACTCACTATGAATTTGAAATTTATTAATTTATAGCTGAATTTTATCAAGGTTATCATGTTTTGTAAATGAATTATGTGTTCAAAACTTAAATCTATTTTCATCCTCTTCCAATCTATCTTCTTTTTCCGTCATCCACTCCTGGATAGGTGGGTCGGGAGGAGCCAGCCATGTCTATGGACACCAGTGGCAAAATCATTTGGGCCAAACACAGTGAAATACAGCAGGCCAACCTGAAGGCCATGGGTGATGCCGAAATCAAGGATGGAGAGAGGCTACCGTTGGCTGTCAAAGACATGGGCAGCTGTGAGATTTACCCTCAAACCATCCAGCACAACCCTAATGGAAGGTAGACATGCACTTGGTCCAGCCCTTTTTTTTTTTTTATAAATCCACAGAAATGAGCATCACAGATGTTTGTTTCTGGTCATTTTATAATTACATTTCTATCAGAGGAGCTTCATTTGCAGTTTTTCCATTTATTGTTTTTTTGTATTGTATCTTTATTTGTTTCAGACATATAAAACAAAAAAAACAATATATACACACTACATATATTTTCATTTACAGATACGAATATATATGTAGATATACACACACACACACGTATGTGTTCAGATAAACAAAAAAATATATAATGAAATAAAACAAAATCGTCTGACATAATGTAACAATGTTTGGTCTGAAAAGGAGTAGGAAGAAGTATGAACATACTTATTAATTCCTACCCCTACTCAGGTTTGTTGTGGTGTGTGGAGATGGAGAGTACATCATCTACACCGCTATGGCACTGAGAAACAAGAGCTTTGGTTCAGCACAGGAGTTTGTGTGGGCACACGATTCTTCTGAGTAAGTGAACATTTTAAAACGTAACTTGAGCGTAACTTTGCCCTAATCCTTTGCTACTCTCTTATTGAATAACATCTGTATTTCTTTGTTAAAGATATGCCATCAGAGAAAGCAGCAGTGTCGTCAAAATCTTTAAAAACTTCAAAGAAAAGAAATCGTTTAAGCCCGACTTTGGAGCTGAAGGTAATGAAATCTTAGCTTCTGATGGATTTGTGGTA